AACAGTGGGTCTGCTTCTCCCTGGGAACCGGTCGCCACTGAAGCCTGGAGTAGGTGGCAGTAGCAATTTACTAGTGCCTTGGTCATACCTGCAGTCCGAGTGTCCCCCGGACCACGGTGGCCCAGTTGGGGCAGGCAGAGGTTCTGCATGGTCCTGGCTGGAGAGAGCACTGGAGGGGAGCGTGTAGCCCTGGAATCAGCACTGAGCCACTGCTCACAGCCGGGTGACCTTCGGCCAGTCCCTGGACCTCTTTGAGACAAGTGTCCCTTAGCAATGCAGTGTTTGGACCGCAGAGTCTTAGAGCCTGCAGGTAATGGGTGGCGTGAGGGCGGTCAACAGTAGTTAGGGGCCTGGCTGAAAATACCAGGATGGAAACTGCAGGAGTCATTGGGTGGCGGGTGGAAGCGCGTGTCCACCCGAGCGGACAGCCCCAGGGCGGCTTGCAGCAAAGATCGGGGTCCCCTGAAGTTGTGTGCATGGGGGTAGATAAAGGGAAAGTGTTCTGTCCTGAATGTCCCAGGAGTTTTCCGTACTTTACTTCATTTAATTATCACAGACAAACTTAAGGTGGGGACCAGCAGAGGGTGTAATGGTTACGTCACTGGACTCCCACAGTCGACCTTGGTTCTAGTCCCAGACCCGGCGGCTTAAAACTCACTCTGAGTACATGTGTGAGTGTGACCAAAATCTCTAGAGGAGAATGGATGAGAAGGGATTGAGGAGAAGGGATTGCACTGACCATCGCCCCTGGGGTTAATTTCTCACTTTCTCTCTCTCTCTCTCTGGCAAGTACATGCACCCTATAGCAAAAATCTCTCTCAAAAACAAAACAAAACAAAAAACTTAAAAAGAAAAACTGATTGTCCTCGGGACCAGCAGTTGGGGTAATGGCTATGTCACTGGACTTTCGCCGAACACGTGTTTATGTGTGCCCGAGATCCCGAGAGGAGAATGGAGGAGAAGGGATTGTGGGGTGTCCATCCTCCCGGGGGTGATTTCTTACTTTGTCTCTCTGTCTCTCTCTGTCTTTCTGGTGAGTGCATGCGCCCTACAGCAAAAACCTCTCCAAAA